TTAAGGTCCCTTCCAGCCCAAACGATTCTGTGATTTATAGCATGTCAGAAAGCGCTTTCCGCATTAACCTCCAGCCTGCCCAAGGTGAGCACCAGCACTGAATCAGGCCTTTCTGCTCTCTGGGATATTGATTTTCCCCCTTTCGCTTTCCTGCTCAGCAGAGGCAGGAAATCTGAGCCAGCTCAGAGGCTGCTGTTGCAGGAAACGCTCCTGGAAAACACACAGATGCTGAAGAGGCACCATCCTTGTTTCAGCAACGCTGCTTAAAGAAGTAGAAGAGATTCTGCTTTTGATTAATAATACAATGATGGTGATTGGGAATGTGCTGGAGTGAATAAAACAGTGCTAGACTTTGACTAAAATGGATCGTACTTCAGTGAGAACCCCCGAATCCCAACTGGTTTGTGTTGAAGGGACCTCATCCAGCTCCAACCCCCTGCCACGGGCAGGGACACCTTCCACTAGAGCAGGTTGCTCCAAGCCCCTGTGTCCAACCTGCCCTTGAACACTGCCAGGGATGGGGCAGCCACAGCTTCTCTGGGCAACCCATGGATGTGACAATCGGTTCCTTTCCTGCCAGACTCAGTATGAGGCGAACTGAGGGGAAACTGTTAAATTTGCTCATTCTCCAGTCAAAGCGTTTCGGGTGATTTAGGTGCAGCTGCAGGGGTGGTTAATGGGGACTGAGCTGAGCATCATTAGGGAAGACAAGCCCTGATCTTGGGGAGGCTTCAGCAACGTTGCAGGGTGCAGGGGAGCGTCGGCTTCAGCAGAGTAAATATAACCCATGTCAATGGGAATGGAAGCACAACAGGCAGCAGCCAGCCTGTGTTTTCCTTTCCTCTTGCCCAGCATTAGCCTAAGAAGCCCCATCCCATTGTCGGAAGAATAAGCTGTGAAATGGTTTTGAAAATAAAGGCTTTTTAATTACAGGCACATTTGTGAGCCTTCTGGAGGCCATCTGTCTGGAAGAGCAGGATGTTAGCAGGGCAGGGAAAGCCAAGGGAGGCAGAGTGAGGAGCAGCTCCTGGAAAAGCACCCTATTAATGTGAAGAGCCAAATCCTCTCCCGACATTAAGCTGTACGGCCAGATCCAGCACCTCTCCATCGCAGTGGTGTCTAACGTGCCCCTTCCTTCTGCCCTCCTGTGCCGGAGGGAGGCTGTTTGCCAAAGGCAGAGCTGGCACCAGCAACGCCCTCCTCCCCTTGGCTGCAAATCCCAAGGACACAGGGAAGAGCAGCTCCTCTTGTGCCGGTTTATTAATCCCTGGCGTTTGAATGAATGTTATTGGCAGCACATTCACTCCGGTGCTTTTGATCCCATCTGGGTTGAGCATCCCCCAGGAACAGAGCTTTCTAATAAACTGGAATAGCCAAGCTTCGTTTGCCTTCCATGGGCAGGTTCAGGGGGGAACGTGTGTCTCTAATTATTGTCCTGTGTTTGGTATTAACCGCTCCTATCAAAGATGCAGAACACAGCCAGGGCCTCATTAAAGGCTGTCATTGTGCTAATTAGTTGGGTTTCGTACTTAATAACAGGGAACTATTTCATGACAGTTTCATGGGGGGAAAAAAAAAAGAGAGAAGAGAAAAAGCCATTATAATTTCAGGAAAAGTCCCTGGAGAAGTGAAATGGTAATTCACAAGTCCCACCATGATCTATGAGCAGATCCTGCTCTGGAGACTAAATTAGGTTGGATGCTGGCTTGGCTGATATTCTTTATCATTTGAATCCCTTATTCTCTTAAAACATATTTATTACATATTTTTTTCCTGCAGAACTTTGAGATCCAGCCACATTTACTTGCAATTCTCTGCAGGCTGTTTAAAGCACAGGTCACACTGGATTTGTCACTGCAAAACACCCTGAAAAATCCTATTTTGATGTAAACCATCTGTTGAAGATACACTTAAGATGCAGGGAGAACATAAATACATTTGAAACTGCCCTGGTGGGGATCTGATCCTTCGGGAAAAGAAGAAGCTAAGCAAATGCCACCACTCCGGAGCTGGGGTTCACCCTTTGGGGTCCCCAAAGCCGAGTGCTGGTGACGGATTTGGGTGGGAGCAGGCACAGGCTCGGCAATGGAATGGTTTTGGGTGGGAAAGGAACATGAGGGCGGCAGCTGGGGCCGAGAACTGCCCTTTCCATGGTCAAACAATAGTGTTTCTATGGAGCAGGGCAGCCAGGGCCGGGCCAGCAGCTGATCCCTGAGCACCCCCCGGCAGCGGAGGGGAGGGACCAGTGTCTGAGGGAGCACGTGTGTGGACACAGCACCCACGAGCTGTTTTATTAGATCTTGGGCAGCAGCTCTTTGAGGGTGCTGTGCTGAGGTGCTGGCACAGGGTGCCGAAGCTGTGGCTGCCCCCGCCCTGGCAGTGTTCAAGGCCAGGTTGGACACAGGGGCTTGGAGCAACCTGCTCTAGTGGAAGGTGTCCCTGCCCGTGGGTTGGGAGTGGATGAGCTTTAAGGTCTTTTCCAACACAAACCAGGCTGGGATTCCGTGATGATGAAGTCCTGGGTTTTGTGGCTTCTGGAGGCTGCTGGACGGGGTGTCACCAACAGGGAGAACCAGGGAGCAACCCCCAAGAACTGCTTTTCCCACAGAGTAGATTCCCAATGTGCATTTTAGGCTCCAGATCTCCATGTCAGCACAAACACTTCCTGTTTGCTGGATAATAAGTAGGCTTGGGGAGGGAAGCAGCTGCAGGAACGTACCCCTCATCTCTCAGCCCAACTATTGCTATGGCCATGCCCCCACTGTGTTCAGCTTGTTCCCTCCCCTTCTCCCCCATCACAGTTGAGGGCAATTCTCTGTGATCAGCTTATAAAGGCCCCTGGTGTGGGGCACTGCCTCTTCCTGCTCACTGTGATGCTGCTCCTTCTGTGAGGCTCAGTCTTCAGTGCCAGGCAGGTACTAGTGGGGTTTAGGGGTGCCTGAGGGCAATGATCGCATCCTGCTGCTGTGCTTCTCCCTGGGGTGTGCTGGGCAGCAGGGAAATGCTGGGGTGAGGCTGTTGCTCTCTGGGGACTGAGGTGGGTGCAGGAAATCTGTTGCTCTTTTGTGCTGTGGCTCATAGAAAAGCTCCTTCTCTTTGCTGACCCTATGGAAAGGTTGGTGGGAGCTGGGGGGGGGTGTGTGTGTAACAAACAGGATGAACTACTGACAAAAGAGGAGGAAACCAAAATGCTTTAGAAACAGGCTTTTAGCATTTAAAGAAATGAAGGGGGAAAACAACCAGACCTACAGTCTGAGAGGAGGAAAAACAAGCTTGTAACTGAGGTTCCTGAAAAGTGCTGAGCGAAGCTTTCAGATGCTGACCCACTCCTCTCCTTGTATGGGCAGAAATGGGGCTTGTCTTGTGCCTATATTTAATTTGCAAGGGAAAAAAACCCTCTCCCTTCATGCCTGTGCTCCAGTGGCCTCTGTCTCGGGAAGTTACAACAGGAATAGAATTGCATGTTTAAAAAAACTACTACTGCTGCTCACACATAAGCCCTTTCCTAAGCTTGGAGTGAGGGGAACAGGTTTGTGCAACATAACACTGCTGCTCACAGAGCATCTGGTGAGACTCGTGGCTGATGGAAGGGGGGAGCTGCAATCGATAGGCTCTGCCCTGTCTTATGCTCTCAGGATTGTGGCTCATGGAGCTGGCAGGGAATTGCCTCGGTCATGTTTAACTGCTGGAGATGCTGAGGAGAGGACTAACAGAGTCCCCCTCCACGAGCCAGGGGTTGCACAGCCTGAGCCCCTTCCCTCAGTTTCTCTCCCAAACATTTCTCCCTCTGCTGTTCCCTATGAACATTTCCATGCAATGGATATTGAAGTGCTACCCAAAGGACCTCGGGGATGTGCATGGGCTGCAGAGCCTCCAGAGCAGCGCTGGGACCCTGGCAGGGACCTCTGGCTGCTGCTCTTCTCCCCGCTGTGATTTATAACCTCTCCTTGAGTGGAAACTCTCCTGGCTGCTCCCCAAACTCCCTGCTCCCGGCTGGGAACAGGCTGACACAAACAGCACACTCTCTGCTCCATCCCCTGCCAGCCTGGCCCCTCGTGCTCGCTCGGCTGCGCTTGTGATGGTGAAACACAGAAGCTTCTGTGCTGGAGAAAAGCAGGACCGTGGTCACCCCAGGCCCTGCAGCATGCTGGAGACCCATGTGGCTTTATTGGTAACTCTTGGGGAGCCAGACGCTTAGGAATGAGGCTTTGTCAAGAGGAGGTTTGTACACAACAGCAATAGGGAACAACAAACACAAACATCTGTTGCAACTTCATATCTTGGTGCAACCTCAACAATAAATTCTTGCAATGTGGCATCTGGCGCGACCCGTGGGGAGAAGGGCAAGGGGAGAGAGGTGAAACCACTGAGAGCTTGGAGCCACCAGCTTCCACGAAAAGAGCTTTGGGTCCTACTGGTTTACCTGGCAGAGGAAGGGGATATATTGGGAGTGCAAGGGAGATGCAGTTTAAGAGGCAAACCCCACAGCTGAAACGCACCAGCACTGGGGGTCTGTGCCTCCCCGTTAGCAATTGCTCAAGTCAAATTCAAACTGATTTCTTTCCATTTAACAAGTGCTTCAGGTACAAGGTTGCCTGGCTTCTAACCCAGCTTTAAGTGCACGCAAGCAGGAATAGATCTTTTTAAAAAACTATATAATTTGCACACATACACACAGTGAATTTTGTGCTGAAGCTGTCTTAGAGATGATGGAATGGGCCTGAAGTGGTGACGATAAGCCAGGCTCCAGGAGCTGGTCGTCTGGGGCACCACTCACCCTAAAGCTGCTCAAGATTCTGGTTCTTTTTGCAGTATCAGTCCCTCAGTTCTCTGGAAAATGCCACTTGCAGGTGACTGAAGCCCATGCTGTGTTTTGCAGAGGATTCCTGTCGTCTCAGTCTATGTTGAGAGCTCAGAGGTCTCCTGAAAAGTCGTGCACGGCCTCCAGCTCCTCTCCAATGTGAAACAATTGCTTGGCAGAGCAGAGAACACCAACAAGCTCAGACCCAAACAGCTGTATTGATGTCAAACCCAGACTGGGTATAGTTTATGGTATCGTGGACTTTCTTAGTGCTGATTCTGGGTTTCTCGCTATTGCTTTCTGCCTTTGGGCATCTCTCTGCTTTGCCGTGATGGTTCTGGATGTTCCCATGCAGTGGGAAGTAAAATGTCCCCTTGAGTTTGTTCATCTTCCTGGGTCTCTTGGAAATCTCACGCTGTTTGTCTTCAGGTGGCAGCCAGCAAGGTTTCTCCTTGAGAAGCTTGTCTCGGTCTGGCCGAACGCTCCTCAGGAACTTCTTGAAGATGTTGGCTGTGAGGGAGAACTTCCTGCAGAGCTCCTGGGATCTGCTCATGGACAGGGGTACTTCACTCTTCTCCCCCTTTTTATCCAGCTCTGGCAGATCCAACCAGTTCCCAACCAAGTCTGCAAAGATGTTATCCCCCAAGACCAGCGGTTGCCGGTTCCGGCTCTGGGACATTAGGGAGGATGTCCAGTCGTGGCCATCATCACACCCCAGGCACTCCTGGCACGCTGGCCACCCCCCAGCTGTGCCCTGGGTACTGGGCTCGAATGTTCTTGGGCGGACGTGCTCTGCTCTGCTCAACACAGAGGAAGGTCCTTTTGGGTGGTAAATATCCTCACCACAGAGGCTCCTGAAGGAGGACAGGGGGTCTCCAAGCTGGCCGACCTCTGGGAGTGCAGCGGGACAGCACAAACCCACTGGTCGTGGCACAGCACAGGCGAGGGACGAGGGGCTGGGGTCCTCCGCTGATTCCTCCCCACACGGCTGCTCGTCCTGCAGGGCCCTGGGCATGTCTCTGCTGCTTCGGCAGCACTGGTGCTGCTCAGTGCCAGAGACTGTGCTTCGGCTCCCCGAGATGTCCAGCTGCTCCAGAGCTGTCTGGACCTGGAGGAGTTTCAGCTCCTGCAGTGCACCCATCATGCAGTTCATCTGCTCGTGCAGCCCGTCTCCAACCTCCTTCATGGATAGCTGTGGAGGGAAGCAGGGATAGAGTCAGTGTTGCCAGGAGAGAGCAAGGAAAACCTGACCCGAAGGCAGGACAGCTGCGCTGAGCTTGCTAAAACACCACCTCTTCCTACCCACTACGTTTTAGATGCACCCTACCTGAACTACATCCATTTCATGGAACAGCAACTGATTTTTCTTAGACTTTTCTAGGAGTTTCCCTCTAGGAATAAGAGGAGCTGGCAGCAGTGGATTTTTTGACCTGATAACAAAAATAAATAGTTTGTTTCCATTAATTGCTTGGCAAAGGCCCAAGGTGTAGAACTACGAATGGTTTTGGCTGCTGCCAGTGTTAGCACGTTCTCCTGCCTTTGTGCCTTTTGTGCCTGTAACCAACTGAAATCAGGAGTCAGAGTAGTGAACACAAGTGCCTTCCATGGAGAATCTTGTTTAGTGTTAAAGTAAATGAAAAATAACCCCATCAAGAACCACATTGTAACTATATAACATGGATTCAGATCTCAACACCCTCACTACAGGCATCTCTCGCTGGAGGATAATCAAAGATACTTCAATGCACTTAATCTTGTACAAAACAACCAACAAACTCTAGAATTACTTACATGAAACCATCAATCTCTTTGATTCCCACAGCAGGACCTTGAGCAGTTCTGCTTTATCCCTGGGCCTTGCTATAAAGATTTAACTTCCTTTACTAGACTTAAAATAAGGAAGTTATTTTCCAGAGCTTCTAAACTCCCCGCTCTTTCGCTCTGTCGCTTTCACACTTTCATGCAGGATCTGGATCGTATTCCCAAAGCAGCATCATAAAACAAATGGGTTATACTTTCCAACAGCTGCCACTTGTTTTTTGAGCAGAGAAGGGCAGCAGGGAGTGGGAAGGAGGGGAAGCCATGTCACGTTCATATAAGGTGGTTTGCCAAAGAGATTACCACTGTCCAGGAAAAGCTTCAGCTTCTGCTGCCCGCAAACAGTTTAAAAGGCTCGTCACAATTTCTGTACAACAATCAGTCTCAAGCTTAGGGTGAGAAGGGAAAAATGCATCTTAAGTTCAGCTTTACATTATCACACTTCTTTACCTCTCCTTCATTTTAACTGAGTTAGTTCAATTACTCGCTCTGTTTCCATTTCTGTACGTGGATCTGGCCAGTGAGAAAAAGCAGTCATCAAAAACCCCTCTGTAGCAACCTTGCTCTGTAAGTGGAAAGCTCCTTAGCAGTTTCTGACCATAAATCTCCCTTTCAAAACCCAGAACCTAAAACCAGCCAGCAGGTTACAACTGTTTTTCAGAGCTTCACTACCAAGAAACTTCTTCATCACCCGGAATGAGCGCACAAGCTATGAAGATACAGAAAATCTGTGTTTAGCTTCCCAATTACACTATCAAGTGTCCCCAGCTATCTAATTTTTTAACATCAGCAAATCAACCTCTACTTCTGCAGACATGCAAATAATGCCCCACTTACAGACTAGCCCAGCTTTTGGGTTACCCGTTCGAAACCTGGGGCCATATGCTCTACAAGCCTCAGACGAAACGATCACCTTACCTCTCCAGATTTGCTGTAATGCTTCTCGTCCTAACCTTTCTCGCCTTCTTAATGCAAGTCTGGTTTATCTGGGGCTTTGCAAAAAGCTGGATTTGGAGGCACCTTGGCCCCTCATTGGCCACTTCCCACCAAATCCCCCGGCTGGCGCAGCGCTGTAACTGTGCCGTGGTGAGTGACGAGGGTCCTGCGGCAATGACTGGGCTCATCAAACCCTCAACATATGCTGCCGGCTCCACTGTTCACCTCTGATTCAATTAACTGCCCATGATGGGTGGTAGCATTACAGTGCATGCCTCAGCCAGCAAGGATCTACCAAGGGTTAGCTTCTCATAGGCAGAATTAATCATCAGTGTGGTTGTTTCTCACAGGCAAACCCAGTCTCCCCTTGACAAGAAAAGACTTGAGCCCCAAAAGCTCAGAATCCAGCACTTCTCTTTCTGGACAAAGGAGCTATTTCATAGAATCCTGCACTGGTTTGGGTTGGGAGGGAGCTTAGAGCTCATCCAGTCCCAACCCCTGCCCCGGGCAGGGACACCTTCCACTAGAGCAGGTTGCTCCAAGCCCCTGTGTCCAACCTGCCCTTGAACACTGCCAGGGATGGGGCAGCCACAGCTTCTCTGGGCACCCTGTGCCAGCGCCTCAGCACCCTCACAGGGAAGAGCTTCTGCCCAAGAGCTCATCTCAGTCTCCCCTCTGTCAGTTTAAAGCTATTCCCCTTGTCCTGTTCTACAAGAAAGCTGGAACTTGAATTTGTGATGAAGTGCAATTCCAAACAGAGCGTGAATGTGACATAAAACCCCAGAGAGCCTTAATCTGGCACAGAGAGAGACCCTGACTGTACTTGCTGGGGTTATGCAAGTGACATTATGTAAGCTGGCCACCACGGGGCATCAGGAGATGTGCTGTCTTGTGCGTGTTTGTGAGCTGTAAATCCCAACCTTGCTGTTGAATCGGCCCCACATTCAGTGGAGCTGCAGAGCAGAGCACAGGGGAAAGTGCGTTCACTGCAAAGCCAAGCACAGATATTGCTCAGCATCATCCTCCCTTCTTGTGTCTGCTGGTCTCTGTTCAAGAGGCACAAATATGTCAGCATTTCGAGGGACTCTGGTGCCTAATTTGAGATATTGTGTGCTTCAAGTGGTTGTTTGGCACGTCTGCTTCCAAGAAAAGCCCTGTAAGAACTGTGACAACTTGCAGATGTTCAGATTTCTATAAAACAATTAAAAATCACATGCCTCAAATCGAATCTCATCATTATTCCTGAAACACTTGCAAGACCCTAAAAATTGACAGGCAAAAAGTGTTAGCCCAATTCTGAATGAGCCAAAACGTGCCTTTTATAGCAAGACAGGTACACACAGGGGTAAGCCCAGTTGTGACGCGCGTGTTCCGCATTAGTGGCTGGGATTCAGTGTATGATGTTAAATGTTCCTTCCTTTCTCCAGCAATAAGGCATTACCTTCAGATCAATCCTCCTGTGAAGGCACGAACAAGGCAGCTCTGGCTAAATGCCTCTTCAAAGCAAAGCTTGCTTAAATGACAGTCACCCTGAACATTGAAAATTGAGTGTAAAATTCAAAAGCTTTTTGAGCACTTTCAAATGATCATCAAGGAATATTCAACATGAGGGAGGAAATCAAAGAGTAAGCATCTTGCAAAACTGTCAGAGTTCAGCTTTTCACACTGGAAATCTACATTCTGAGTAGCAAAGGCATCGCTCTCTTTGTAAGCCAGGCCTTTTCAATGACAGCCTCAAAATACTTATTCCCAGACTATAACCACAATTGGTTTACACAGTTTATACATCAGTGATCTTCCAGCACTGATTAACACAGCAGGAGGACAACTTGCCCCAAGGAATAGCCTCTACCAGATACTGGCATTTTATCAAATTCAACCCCAAATACCTGAGATGTGCCAATAAGGGACATTTTATTTGTCACTTCCAAGTAAATAAGTAACTTTTCTAACCCACTTGGGGAACTAATGTTTTCCTATCAGCGTCTACCTTCAGCAAGTTCTCAGGATTCAGTTCCCATCAATCCCCTTGAGCCACAGCTGTCTGCACTCCCAGCCCATCCGCACATCTGGCCTGCCCAGGGCTGCATCAGCTTTGGGATGCTAAAGGGGGAAAAGGAAAAACCCAACTAACGCACCACAGCTTTCAGCTGAGCACAGAGAACTGAAAAGAAGAGCTCTGAGTGTGTTTGTCGTAATGAGGAGGAAGACAGATGTCCAGCTCTTAGGTAAAAGACAAGCAAAGAGAGGAAGTTATTGCTAAGAGGACAGGAAAGAACAAATGGCAAATAGCAGTACTTAATAATAGTGCTGATAGGCAACAGAACCAGCAACAAACAATTGGTATTTAAAGAGGATGACATAAGAGAGACCAAAATTACTTTAGAACTGCTGAGCTGATTGTATTGTTTCCGTGTTTTCCTTTGGGTCACTCACTAGATTAATCTTCAACAAGCTTGCAACTGTGGCTGGGCATTAAGTGTGCAGAGCATGCTATAGGGCGCAGAGAGCTGCCTTCCTGCTTCATGTTGCCCCTTTTTCTTCCTTCCCTTGATGGTTGCCAAGGGCCTGCAATCTTCTTTTTATCTTTGCATTTTATCACAAGGAATTTCAAGTCTCTTTTTCACTTCTTGTCCTCCCAGAGTATTTTAGGTGTAAATGAGGAATGTTAAATGTGAGCTCATAATTTAGCTGAAAGAGGAAGGATGATGGAACTTTACCAAAGATTCTTCTTTTCTCTCAATAGTTTAAATAGATCTTAAACAGATGTTAACCATGAAAGACATGGTTCGCATTGCTCAATTAACCATCCTCCTTACTCAATTGCCTTCCTTTCCATTGCAATGATATTGTTCTGTGCTTCCCAACCACATTTGCTACATTTAAAGGCAAATTAGAAAATCAATTCTCTACAACCAGGAAATAAATGGACCAAAAAGAACTCCAACCTTCAGACTTTCACTCACAACCCAGGGATAAGAGAGACTACAAGCCTTGATGTACAGACTGACCATTGAAGGTGATGGTTAAAGGTGTTGGTTTCCAGCCCAGCAGTCTGCTTCCTTGGGGATCTGGTTTTTAACATTCCTGAATACGTGCGATTGGGAGGCTAAAAAAATCCACCATCATCCTTAGGAGTCTTCTCTAGAAATAAACAAGTGGACAAAGCCCACAACTGCTTTTTCTCTCCCCAGGTTATATGTGACAGGACATCTGCTGTCAAGTTACTCCTTTGCAGCTTCCCTTAAGGCACAACCAAGGAATGAGATGCTGAGATAACCACCCAAGTTTCTGAGCAGACAAGGGTGAAGCCACCCTTAAAGGGACCATTTTATCAGCAGAGATACAAATGGAGCTGGGTGTTTCCACTGGTTGGAGTTGTGAGCAGTGATGTTAGACCCTGGGGCTGTCACTCATGCACACTGCAAATTGCAAGAG